ATATATATACCAATACCAATTTAAAATAATAAATAGACCTAAAAGAATCTTATAAAATAATTATAGATCCATGTCTCTATAAGAAATTAGTTCTCATAATTAATGATTCGATATTATCATAAAATAGACCACAAACTTTAATAATGACTTTATAATAATAAAGTTAACAAATGACTAAGAGTATCATAATATAGTATAATTCAAATTCTTCTCATCTGAAATATTTTACTTCTAAATATTGTCTCATTGTTTTGTTTTGTTTTGTTTTGTTATTATTGAAGAATCAATGAAGGATCTTTATCTTGAACTTTTTAAAAATTAGTTATGATACAAAACATTGGACAATAAACGCAATAAATGTTATTAGACACATAAATATTGCAAATCTGAAAGAATATGGAAGGTATCTATCTTCCAAATTAATAACACTGAAAAGAGAATGTTTAATATTGATTAAAATATTTTTTAATGTTGAATAAGTTGTCACTTTTTGATAAGAATTTACAATCATAATTGTGTATTGTGCTCGATCATACGCGCATTTGTTTTAGAGTACATATTTTCATGTAATGTGTGATGATTTCAAAAAAATAATTTAGCATCTTCATAGAAGTACATGATTTTGGAAAATCAAATTTTATTTAGAGATGAAATTCGTTCCCACCTCATGGGGTAAGTACTAATTTTTCTATGTGGAGAGAGAGAGAGGGAGAGAGAGAGAGAGAGAGAGAGAGAAATGTAGTAGTTTATACATTGATTAAAAGAAATATCAAGAATTTTAATGACACAAATATCAAGAAATTTAATGATACAATTGTTTATTTCACAGAGATACTTATGAACTATTAGTATAAATACCTTATAATGATCATACAATCATAAAGTTTGACTATATATTTGACTAAAGAATTTCTAAGTATTGAATAAAACAGACGTTTTGCAAAATTAATTAAGAAGAATTTTGTAATACTACTGATGTATTAGAATTCAACGAGTATGAATGTTTCTTATGAGAACATCAAAACCAAAATAAAAGAAAATGACTCTTGAATCTAACATAAATAAATAAAAGAACTCATGCATCTATAATATACATTATGTCTTTATTTAGTCATTTATTGGTTTTTCATTAGGAACTCATTTTTCATATATTTTTGTTGGAGTTGTAATATGATATTTAAATCTTTTTATATTACGACAATATTTTTATATTTAAAATAAAATGCATGAAAAGTTAATTTATTCTACATTTTATTTTGTTCCTGCAGTCATATGTGTAATAAATTAATTAATTTATCTTACTAAATTTAATCGGTAAAAAGCATTCGTCGCCACGTGCATCGCACGTGCACTTTACTAGTTTGTAAAAAGGAAGCTGATTGGCCAAGAGTTTTAATTTCCATATTCCTCATGGACTAGCGGCAACACAAATATTTTATTTCTTTATTTTTATTTTTATTTTTTGTTTTTACACTACTGCTTTTGTAAAATATTCTGTTCAGCAAAACTCATACCTGCAATATTTATTTTAGTTAACTATTATGAAAATATTCTGTTCCACAAAATTCTTACCTACATAAGAATCCATTTAATGGTCTCTTGAAGAAGAGAATCGATCGAAAATAGAAATATAACGTTTTTAATTGTTTGTAGGAAATGGACGCTATTTTATTTGATTATAATTAATTTGTTCAGAGCAGTGTAGTTTAGATTAAAACACATTTTTTTCCTCTTTAAATTTATTTATAATCAATTAATCATCAATATCATCAACATAATATTGAAAGCTGGTAATGATTTAAAAATGGGGAAATGCTCACACACAAAGAAAATTAATTAAGAGAGAGAAATACAAAAGGCATGCAACAAGTATCTCATAATACTACGTACTACTAAAACAAAGCTCACTAACGAAAGGATTTTGGTCTAACATAAATTCGCAATCATAGCTGGGCTAAGGCATATTCCTAAAACTCAAAATGAAAATTAAAATATGAAGAAAAAAAAAAAGGAAAATAAAGGTAGAAAAAGCAGCCAAAATCCCAAGTAGAGGATGCAAAAAGACGTTCATCATCAGCTTCTTTTGGAGTGTCCAAATCTCGAACCTGCACAACTTTATTTATGTCAGCGAAATACCACAATTGACCCTACTTATTTATTTACTGATGGAGCTCCACAATTCAGTAGTACTCACCCCAAATTTCTTAATTGTCCTTTTGAATTAAAAAAAAAAATAGAACTTAATTAAAAAGTTAATGTCTTAATTAATTATTCTTAAATCAGGTCTACCTAAATCCCTTAAAATCTGAGAAAGCCGTCTTTAATTTCTTTGTTATCTTACTACCACCTTCCGTTGATCATCTACATGCAACGGAAGAGAGGGATAGAGTTTGAGTGGATATCGAAGAAAAGTATATAAGAAAATTATTTATGAGATTTTATGAAATGTATAAAAATTAAATTACAAGAATAACTGAAATACACATCTAAAACCATTTTTATTATATGAAAAAAAATATATAACCCAAATATGATCAGCATGAGTATGAGTATGCGTTAAATTTTAATTACCTTAGAACAGAAAACGTTGGCTTAAAATGAAGATTTGCCACTGAATTCCCTTGGCGCATTGCACCTGAAGCACTCCATCCGGCTCGCGAAGTTGTGCTCGTTGCATCCCGATCTGTTTAGTTACGATTGTCATTATTATTAATTAATTAATTAATAATTAATAATATCCGAAAGTCTATTCATCATATTAAAAAATTAAAAAAAAAAAATCGTACTGTGCTTACATGCAACCATAAAAAGCGCGCACACTGACACACACAGACACGTTAAATGATTGTTTTTCTTTTCAGTGAAAGATGTAACTTTAAATAAAGCGCAAAACGACAAAACATTAAATACATAACGCATAATAATAAGTTGTGAATATTTAATTTTGACCTAGTGCACATCCAGTCGCCGGACTTCCACCCGGAGCGGCTGCCGCCACCGAATCCAAAGCCACGGGGACGCGAGAAGTCGCCGTCAAACCCTCCTCCTCCGGGGCCGGCGTCGTCCTTGAGGGCCCCGCATTTGAAGCAGCTGGATCGGCTGGCGAAGTTGTGGGCCCCACAATTTCCGACCGAACAGTACCAGTCGCCGGGCCTGACATCCGGGCCGGTTATTAACCCGAACGGCGAGCCCATTCTCCCGCCAAAGTCACCCGCGGGCCTCGGGTCTCCACACCGCTGGCACGAGTCCCTCCTCTGGAAGTTGAGGTGCTGGCACGACCTGCAGTTCCAGTCTCCTGGCCTGTTCATTTTCTCCTGCATTAATTATTACCAAACAAAGTATTAATTTTACTTAATTTGAAATATTGAAGACAATATAATGTGCTACACAAAAATGAAAATATAAAAATCTAATTACGTACCCTTAAGTAAAATTAGAATGAGAGAATTTGGGCAAAGCTAGATAACAAAAACTCTTATTTATTACAGATAAGAATAAGATAATCTGGTTGTGATATTGGTTGTGTATGGGTATGTGCTTTATATATACTAAGGGGGCGGCCTCGATAATCGAGGCCTGCTGGATATATGTGATGTGGCTTTCCTTTTCAAATAGAGTATATACTTTCACTTGCCTACCTATCCTTATTCAACTATACAGTCGCACTTAAAAAAAGAAACACAGACTAAATTAATTTATGTATATTTATTTTATATATATTAAAGATAAAGGAGAATAATGTAATGCTGTTGCAATTGCAATAATTATGTGTGTCATATATCCAGATGAGATTCTTAATTTTTTTTTAAAAGATGGTAAATATTTGTGAAATTTGATAAAGCTTAATCTGTATATGCTTTTAAGGCTATTGGGAACCTGAAGTGAAATTGAACATTTCAACACTCTCCAAAAACGTTTGTGGTATCATTCCATTTACTTATGCCCTTTCTTTTTTTACAAATGTACCAAATTAATTACAATAAATTACTATTTGAACATTTTTTTGCTCCAAATTGTATTATGAATTAAATTCTTAAAAAATGAAGGAATTAATTAGCGTGTGATTCAAAAACCGCTCAAACGAAATAGATAGCTTTTAATTTCTGTACTGTTAATTATTTAGCCAAAATTAGGAAGATGCATTTTAATAATATGGTGGAGCCATGCAAAAGATTTAACTTTGACCAAGCAATAGAAACCTGGAGACGCCAAGCAGCTGGAAACTTATAGTAAGGGACACTAATTCTGAAAGTTCTTATTTCCCTTAACTGCATGTATGACATGTGTTATTGAGATAAGCACAAATAAATTATGGAGAAAATATAATTTTAGAATAATAACTTTGGGTTTCTTGTTTTATTTTATTATATTTTTCAGCTTCCATTAATTAGAATTATTTTTTTTATTTTATTTTCTTGTTAATTTCAGCCAATAACTCTTAAAAAATTTCAATTTAGTATATTTGGTTTATATTCATTCAAAAAGCTTTCGTTCGCCACTTTCAACTTTATCAACAATTTTGACTATATTCTTATGTGAAACTAGCTAGTGGAAGAACTCTTGATATGTTCGTCTCCTCTATATATTCAAATAAAATTGTTCCATTTATTTTAATTTTGTGTTTGTAATCATCGAAAATTTAATTTAATGTTCCAAGCGTTTTCTTTTGAACAAATTAACATGATTAGTTAAAGATATTACACCAAATTTAAACTCGAAAAAGCTAGTGGAACAGAAATTTTAAACCCACACATGTCCGCTTGCTTGTTGTTGACTGGAGATTATTGAAGAAAAATATAAATTGTCATATTTGCTAGACATATTGAATATTCTTCGTACTTAATTTTATTCCCTTTTTTTTTTTTTTTTTATTGTATCTTGAATATTCTTGTTTCGTACTTTAGTTTGAGTTGTACAAATTTAGTGTTTAAGCAGTATGTGAGAAAAAGCTTTAATCCCACTACACTATGGACCATAGTATGAAATTAGGACAAATTTGTCATTTCACTACAAACGGCAAGAACTCAAGCTGCTTTATTATTTTTCTCTTTCACTTTATTCAACAAATGACAAGTAGTAAGCAAACTCCAATATACCATGACACGAAAAAGATTTGATTCTTTCAAAGGACTTATCTAATTGGATCCCCACAACATAATCATCATCATGATTTTTCATTTTAGATTATAAATATTATTTGAGTTACGTTCAAATATAATTCGTGGGTTAATTATATACGCCTACATGTCTATATAATATCTCAAAGTTATTATGTGTTACTAATGAGTGGTCAAAAGTTCTGCCTGCTGCAGATACGTTTTCATGCTAACACATGACAAGTAAAATAAAGAAAAACTAAAGTATGCCAGAGCAATCACTTTGAATCATGTTTTATTGATCATACCGTTTAAATTTAAATTTTTAAAAAATGTTTGATTATTTTTTAAATAGTAAATATTTTTCTCCAAAAAAATCTATTTACTATCTCGAGAAATTTATTTAATAATTTATGGTATATATCAAATCTATCATTTATGGAAATTGCGGCTCACTTATTTAAGAAAGTATGGTCAATTTATGGTGTATATCAAATGATCGCTTATGGAGATTGCGGCTCATTATAAAGGAAGTAATTAAGCTATATTTTAAGATACCTTAAATACTCAAATCATGCGAACTAATTAATATATGATATAAAGTAGACGAATTTATTTTTAGTATTGATGGTTGTTTGAAATGACACATGGTTTGAATTGAATATAATGTAATTTATTATCAGTTATGTGCAACGCACGGGTTGTGTACTAATTTAAAATATATATTTTTATGTAATTTTGCACAATTTAAATTTTATGTAATATTTTCAATTAATTAATGTAAGTACATTGTATTACATATTGATTCTATGTTTTTAATTTATATATATTATTTAATGAGAATTTTTAATTTATAAATATTAATGAATATTTCTTATTCGTGCATCGCACGGGATTCGTACTAGTTCTAACATGAGATATATGTCTAGGTATGTTGACCTATCATATATTTTTAATAAAAATGCATGTTTTGTGTAGTGAAATTCCATACTTTTGTTTATGTTTATATAGAGTTAGACAATTCAGCTTAACAATATTTATATATATTTGATGAAAACGTATAGATTGTCTCCGTTAATCTTCCAAAGAATAGTCTTAACCTTGGCTTCGTGCGCATTTGTTCTTTAATTATTTGGAGTTCCAAAATTAAAAAATTAATTTTTAGTTTGTAATTTGTTGCCAGCGAAAGAATAAAATACGGTCGATGATCGGTTGAACTGGTTAAAACTAACCAATCGAACTGATTAGACCGGTCCACAGTTTTTCATTTTAAAAAATATATTAATATATATTAAATTTAATATATATATATATAAAAGTAAATATTAAGTACAATGGATATGTATTATTTATTTATGAATAACTTCAAGTGTAAATTGTCTAAATGTTAAAGTAATTATGTTTTTATATATAAAATTTAATAACTGATAAATTATATATATTTAAAAATATCAATATATTAAATATAGTTCAACCACTAGTCTGATCAGTGAAACATTGAACCTGTTCTGAGAACCTTGGTATATATAGGTGTCGGAAAGATCTACGAGAAGCATTGGATCAAAGATATCTTTTTGGATGAGTCTCAATAGAAACAAATGCAAGTGGCTTAGTTGCAAGCTCTTGGCAGCTAACATGTTCAGAACCTGGGACTTTGCTCTATTGTTGCGGGGTTGCGACGAGCTCACTGATAGTCGTTGTGCCACGAGGACCATTTTTCTTGTACTATCTAACATGTGATTTCTCAACTTTTTTCATGATTTGAAGTTATATGATTTCAGTTATAACCAACTTTTGAGCGACATGAATTCAATTTTGAGCTAGTATTCATTTATTTTCACATATATCACTTACATTTAGTTTATCATTTACCGTAAAATAAGTAAAAATAATTTTTTTCTTACACTTTTCTCAATACTAGTACAGAGCCCGTGCGATGCACGGGGTGCACAATTTTAAGGCTATTTATCCAGGTTTATAATTATATTCATAAATAAAGAAAAATGTACGGGATATATATAGTACGTGACCCGTGCGAAGCACGAGATATATTTATTTGGAGAATATTATATTATAAGAT